CATCTTCTGTGGATGTTATTCGGGGGACGTCGATTTACTCATGTTCGATAGGTTTCTGTCCCCTTTTTCGGTGTGCGCGTGAGCTATTGGACAACGATTTGACGGGACATTTGTCTGCCGTGTGTGCGGGTATCGTTACGACGGGGGGCGGTGGTCGGCGCAGAGTTATCGGTATCATAGTATCATAGATTCTGCGGGGATTGGGGTTCAGTTTGTTCCATGACGGATGCCGAGTGGGCAGGTTTCGAGATCATGCAGGGTCGCAAAGACACGATGGATGAGATGAGGGGAGGAGAACATGGCATCGCTGCCATACCACACCCCAGTATCCACCAATTGACTCGGACAAGAACAATGGCAGAAACATTCACCACTCTTCCCATCGGCTTAAATTGCTCCAAGCTTCCAGTCCTGCAAAGCCAACTAGCTAAAAAAAAGGCCATGCCCACCCTCCAATCCCCCCCTCTCAAGGGAAAAAGGAAAAAGCATATCTATGTAGCGTTCACCACCACCACCACCACATCTAGTTGTAACCTCTACGAGACACAAGAAAGTAAGAATAAAAAAAATGAAGGGGGAGAAGAAAAAAAAGCAACGCATTCTAGGTCTATTCATCGTCCTCCTCCCCTTCCTCATCCTCATCCTCATCATCCTCATCCTCATCCTCCTCCTCTTCTACCGCGAGCAAGCCTCTATACTCCTCCCACGTAACGCTCGCCTTAGTCCCACGATAGGTAACAACGTCCAATTGGATCTTGCTCCAGTCATCCTTCTTCCCGGTCCATCCCGCTTTGCGCATAAGACTGACCAAAGTCTCCTCCTTGGTCCAACCCTGTTCCTTGGCTACATCGGGGAGATAGGTAGCCCCCATGCGCCTACCGTGGTACACGAAGCTGATCCTAAGCCCGTGGATGCCAATTTCCCAAGCCATAGGGCCCTCGGCGGGTTCGAAGTCTGTCAGGATGGTGACAGCGCATTCGAGTTTCGGAACCTCTTTGAGGGTGATGGGATTGAAGCGGGTATCTTCCAGCGCACTACCCGTTCGTGAGCATCAAGCCATCAACCGAAAAGAGCAGGCGCAGGAACGAAGGGGGGGGGGATGAGGGGAACAAACGAAGTGAGAGCATAAGTCTTGAGCCCATATTCCAACGGCTGAGCCTCAAAAGTGCCAATACACCCACGAAGGTACTTGGGACCGGATTTGGAGAACCTATTCCAGGTGACGAACAACGGGGCTGACCGGATACCGCTAGCATGGCCATTTGTATGCCCGTTCGCGTGACCATTTGTGTGCCCGTTCGTAGCAGCAGCAGCAGAGGAAGCCTTATGCTGCCGGTAAGTTTCCTCGATCTTAGCCAACGGACGCGGAGGGCGTTTCTCAAAGTTTGCCGAGAGGACTTCGAAGCAGTAGAATGCATGAGCTGGAGAGGCCATTCTTTTTTTTTTCTTTTTTTCTTTCTTTCCTTTCTTCTTCTTCAGTTGTCTGGAAGGAACGTCAGGACTGCTCGTTTGTTTGTTTGTTTGTTTATCTGTTTACCTCCCATCCATTATCGACCCGAAGAATTTCGAAAGGGGGGGGAGAGGGAAATGTGCAGCAAAGGAAAAGGTATCATATACTTACCGCTACGTAGACAGTTCTGGTGGCGGTAGCGGTAGGTAGTCGTAACGCTGGCGGGGTACGGTAGTCTAGCTACGAGTATACAGTAAGATTACGAGTGAGGGGAGGAGGAGAAGGAGGAGGAGGAGGAGGAGGAGGGGGTGCAGAAGGGAAGAGAAGAGAATAAGAGAGAGAATACTCGTCATAAGACTACCATACCATAAGTTACCGACTCCACTCCACTCCACTCCACTCCACTCCACCTCTACTGTACCCTAGAACCACCGCCCATAACCTCCAAAGTGAGGGAAAAGGAAAAGGAAGAGATGGATGGATGGATGGATGGATGGATGGAGGGGGTGGGGAGGGGGGGGTTGGTCTCCCGCAAAGTTAATTGTCATCATTCTCCACCCGCAAGCGGACGGGGTGTATATCCGAGATTGTGTGGGTTACGATAAGTCCAAGTCTCGATAGGGAGGAGAGGAGGGGGGAAGATATGATACGCCTTTTTCTCTCTCTCGCTTTTTTTTTTTTTTTTTCCTGTCCCGAGGGACCAGCGTGATCGTTTTGAAACGGAAAAGCGGAAACGATAAGTTATGGTACGGGACGATATCATACGGGAGAAACCAATGATTAATTTAGCGCCACCTTGCGCTGGGCTTGGGAAGGAAGAGCCGCCTTGCTTTTACTGTAGGGTGGATTTGGTGGGCTTCAGCTGTGTGCGGTACCGCACCGTACCGTACGAGAGGTGGCACAGTACAGGTATGATTGATTGTCTACGGGTACGGTAGGTATTGTACCATGGTCGATATGATAAGCAAGGGATGGATGGGAAGAATGTCACAAGTATTTACACCATTATCCTCTTGCCGGGCAAAGGCTTTATCATACTCGTTTGTCTTATATATAAGTCGAGTCTGGCTCTCTCATGAAACGGATGTCGTGAGGTGGTGGTTGCTCCGAAAAGCCTCACACTTCCCCTTTCCACAGTACATCATGGTACTCATGGCCATAGTACAACTGTGCCGGTAAGTACTGTACATGTACAAGTACGATAACCAGTGTTGAGCGACACTTGTGCTAAAATTGTGCCTTCACCACTCACAGCACTAGCATCAGGCTTGGACAAGAAACTATCATAGTACTGTACCATACCGTTCCGCTATCACATTCATATCGCTCCCAGCCCCACGCCTAGGTTACGGGAATAACATTGGTGGAATAAACCCGTCGAGAAAAAGGAAAAGAAGAAAAAGAAAACCGATACCTGTATCAAGAACGACTCTAATCGCCCAAATTATGATAATAGTACAGTAGAAATCCCTCCACCACCTCCTCATCATCAACAGAGCGCAACATATTTTTGTTTCAATTACCAAGACCCTCATCTCCCCCCTTCCCCTGGAAAAGGAAAAGAGAAAAATGGAAAAATGGAAGGAAGAAAAGAAAAGAAACCACCCCATCAAGAAATAAAGCTCTTCCCAAACTCTGAAACAATCTCCGCACTCCTCTTGGTATCGATAAACAGCTCCTGGCACTCCTGCACATCCGCAACCTGAATCTTCGTTCTCCCGGCAACCCTCGCAAGGATGGACGCGGGAGTGAGCAGCTGCAGGGCATAACGAAGACTGGTATCCACACCCCTGTGCGCAAGCTTCTCCACCGCCGCGTCCTCGAGGTCCAGGGACTCCGTCTTTGTGCGGATCCTGATGATCACCCTGATGTCGTCCAAGTCGTACGGGTACGTCGGGATGATGAGCAGTCGGCCGAGGAGATCGGCAGGGATCCCGTGGGCGGACATGATGTCTTCGGTTCCGCGAATCGTGCATACACCGCGGTTAGAAGCCAGGATCACGATAGGGGAAATTTTGGACTCGAGGGCGCGGTTGAGGAAGGTGAAGCATTCAATGTCTAGCATGTGGACTTCGTCAATGAAGAGGACGCCTGGGACTAGCTCCGCTACACCCTGGTCGATGTACTTTTCCACCACTTTGTTGATCTCTGTGCGGAGTTTGTCGGTGATCTCGGTCTTTTTGGGCTTCATTAGTTGACCCATCATTGACATTATGTCTTGGCCACCCTGGGAGTCTCATTATCAATGTCAGTATCCACCACCACTCCGAGTAAAAGTGGAGGGAGTAAACAGACCTGCGGTTTCGCATTGGCAACATCAAGATCATGCAATGTAACATCCTGCACAATCTCCTTCTTCTTGTGAACATCCCCCTTGGGAATTGGCACGTATTCCTCCGCCTCAAGATCAAACTCGGTAGCATAAGCATCGCTTCTCCCAACCCTCTTAACAGCGCCAGTATTCGCCTCAATGTAGATGACGTCCCCGACCGCAACACGCTCCTTCTGTATACTCTCGTAGATGCTAGGATCAAGACGCAACTTCTTGGTACCCTTCCCAGACTTTAACCCAACAACAACATGCGAGATGGTCTTCCCGTAGCCGCCCAGGGGATTCTCCGCCTCCTCAGGCGTAAGATCCGTAACCTCCCCTTCATAAACCTCCTTCGTCTCCTTAATCCTCAAGCCTGCAACACCCGGTCAGACCCCCCCCCCCAAGCATCAAGATGAAAAACAAGCAAACAAACCAATAGCCCTCCTAAAATTCTCCATCAGGGCCTCCGTCTTCTTAACCTCCGCCGAGTAGATCTCGCTGCCGACAATCGGGCGGAAGGGAACCTTGGTTCCCAGCTCCTGCGATACCGCCAGCGCGAGCGCCGTCTTCCCCGTCCCCGGCCCTCCGGCCAGCAGGACCGCTCGGCCAGACATCTTCTTCGCCTTGATCAGGTCGACAACGATACCGCAAGCCTCCCTCGCGCTCTCCTGCCCCACGAAGCCCGCAGCGACCTTCTCCGCCGTCCCGTCTGAGCGGAGGCCTAGTCCCTTGATATGTGTGTGGGCAGCTGTGCGGTTCTCCCGCGAGTTGCCGGATTTGACCTCGCTGATTGTTACCATTGGTGCTGTTGTTCTTGTAGTTGTTACTGCTACTGTGGTGGATGGATGGATAGATCGATGGATGGGGGTGGGATTGTAAACTGTTTTGCTGATTTTGAAAAGGCTATTTGTGACTCACGTGTGGGGAAGGGCAGGAAGGTATGATACAAGTATCATACCAAACGCCAAGACTGTTTGGACAGGTAGTTGATCCAGGGGGCTTGCATCATAAATTATCACCCAAATTTGATGCTCGAGCCTCTGCGAGAGCTGACCTCTCCAAAACCCAAGTACCGTATGATACAGTACCGGTACGGTACCGCATGTAATCCACAGTACGCTCACACAGGTTCACAACTCCATCACTCGCACCCCCCACCACCTCCACCTTCGAACTTTGCGAGTGCCCAATTTCCGGGACTACCTTCCCAGCATAATAGAGCCACACGTTAACCGACTGCCGCTTTTTTGGCACTGAGTAGCGCAAGGCTCGTGCCTCAATTAGTTCCTCGTACCACTAGCAGTGAACGTTTCCCGCAGACTCTCAAAACACAGCGCTCTCCAACACCCCACCGCTGCCCAGGAAAGAAACCTCCAACTGACCCAGCCAGCGGACCCATGAGCAATAATGCATAAGGCAGGAATAAGTGACATCTCAATATTCTATCTACAATAACCTAAACTGACCGTCTGCCCATCATGACGATACCCGAAGAAAAGAAGAAAAAGCCGGAAGTAAAATAAATGGAAGCAAAAAATGAATGAGGAAAAGGCAAAAGCAAAACAAAACACCGTTACAAGAACCGGGATCGCCGGCGAATAGACTTTTCACCTCTTTTGCTGCGACAAAACAATTATAACGCAGCGTGGAAATTTAATGCGGAAGAAGTGGGGCAAAGGAAAATTACAAACACGAAATATGAGCATTATTTTATTCCTCGTCTGTATCCGTGTCCGTGTCTGTCTCACTCTGGTCATCGGCTTCGCCATCTGTATCGCTCTCTTCGGATGAATCGTCGTCGTCATCTTCGTTGTTTCGCTTCTTAGACTTCTTTACCGGTCCACCTCTCATAGCGTTCATCTGACCTGCAAGAGAATCTAATTCAAAGAGGTACATATTAGCAACCGCTTTGTGATAACATCTATAGGGGGGAGCAATGCATACCTTCTTCTGGCTCACTGATTTCTTCATCTTCCTTGATCTGCGCAACCTTGCTGGGGTCACTGATAACAAGAGTGACATTTTGCTTCTTATCAACTCCTAGGTAAGAGTCACTAACGCAATGCATGACAAAAGCGTATTCTCCAGGTTGCGGTGGTGCTTGGAATTGTAGCTTGAACGTTTGAACGGCAAAGTTATCGGTGCTCTTTTCCCAACGAGTAATTGGCTGCGGGGGAACAATCATCTTTCCCTGTTTTTCATCGGCGAGGAAGATGTACCAAATAGGAGAGTAGTCTCGGGGAAAGTAAGGTGCATGTGCAAGAGGAGTCGTCGACTGGTCGTTAGCTTTTCCTTGAGACTTGCCATTGCGGCCCAACAAAGCATCGACATCGGTCTCGTCTGGGTCCTCATCTAAAAGATCCTTGGCGTCTACTGCCGGTGGTGTGGACCCAGGAGGGACAACTCGCATTTTGACAACAAAGTTAACCAAGCTAGCCGGGGTAATGTATTTCTCTCCCATAACCTTGAAGAAAGCAGATTCAATCCTCAATGACGGGAGTGCCTTAGCAAAAGTGATAGCTTGTGCGTATTGTTTATCATTTAGGAGCCCTTTGCCAACGCACAACCTTTTGCGCTTCTCCTCGGGGCAAGCCACAAAACGTTGGACGGTCCATTGGTTCTTTCCACCATCCTGTTCGATAGCAGCCACGACCTCATTTGTGAAGTGGGGGAGTTGGAGCAGAGGAGAGGCATGTGGAGGGACCGCTTGAACAAGGCACTGATTCAATCGCACGGAGGCCATAACGGGCTGGGTGTTGGAATAAGCGAGGGCAATCGCATGGAAACTCTTGTTGAGAGCGATCGCAGCAGGCGTAACATCCAATTTGGCTAGAAGGTGTTAGCAATCTCAGGATCGGGCGACATGGACCTAGGAGATATACCATTGTTCAGCTTCTCGCTTTCCAGATCCGTACGATAGATATAAGCCCAAAGCAGGCCGAGTGCCCTTCTCCTCCAGCCGTCGAGCTCCTCAATAGCTTTCCTCTGCTTGTCCGCGAGACCGGCAGCCTTGATCTTTCTCTCGATGGTAGCCTCCTCGCTTCCAATCCATTCCTTTTCCCTCGCGCCGCCAGTGATGAACCTCATCTCTTCACCGGCGGTTAATATTTCCACGAGCTTCTTCTCATCGATGTTCTCGTCATAGGCTCTGAAAAGGCTTCCAGCACTCGCCGTCATGACTCCTTCCTTTGTGTGCTTCTTGGTTCCATACCACCATCGACCGACGTAATATGGCAACAAGATTCCAAACAACAATCCGTAGACAGCAAGAACGTAATAGTTGTTTCCCTCAGAGACGATCCATGTCGGGAGAGCGATGCCAATTGAGAAAGATTGCTTTCCATCCGGATGACCATACTGGATAAAGTTGTTACGGATATCCTCGTCGGTCAGCGCCTTATAAGCTTTGGTAAGCTCGACAAAGTGGTTATTGAGGTCTTCAAGGGTTTGGTTGCCGGTTGGGCGAATTTTATCCGGGTGATATTTCAAGGATAATTTCTTATAATGGGACTTTATAGCTTTTTCGTCCGCGGTCTGTGGGTATGTGTGGTCAGCGATGTTCCAAATGATGATTTCTCCCTGTGCAAACCAACCATACTGATACCCAAGATTTCATACGGATCCCAGATTTTGCCATCGGCATTTGCTGTCACAGCGATGAGGTATGCCATATATGCGAACAGCGCCCATCCGATGACGATCGAGGTGAACCTCTTGAGCCGCCTCTCCTTCCTCTTCTGCCTACGGCGCGCCGCCTCGATCGCCTCATTGCCAGGCGGCTTATAGTTATTCTCCTTTATTAGAGGCGTTTTCGAAACGCCCGGTTCTATGTAAGGTTAGGATTTGCCAGCGAACGACGTGAGCCAGAAGTCATACGTTTACTTGGCGCGAAAGTTGAATACGTTAAGGGGCACAAAATTAAGCCAAGTATCGTCAGTACGAAGTAGGGGAAAAACTGCCCCTGTAGATTTTCCAAGAGGGTACAGTTAGCAAACATCCGTTAATAGCTCCATGAGCGAATAGTCATGCCTTGTCGTCATAGTTATAGTCTGTCGACATGGCGACGGCGGTTTATATATAGCTCTCGTTTTATAAGCCCTCTCGGGGGTAACGATGTCGTGGAAAAGAGCGAGAGTGAGAGTTATAGGATGTTGAAAAGAAAAGAGAAAAAAATAAGAAAAGGAGAGAGAGAGAATGGTGAGACCTTTCGTCGCAAGGAAAAAGAGAAGGAGAGAGGGAAGAAGAGAGATATCGGTAGAAGAAGATTAACTATTTGATGTGGGATGGGGGGAGAAGAGGTGACTTGAGCATCGTGTCCTCAACTGAACAAAAATCAAAAAAAGAAAAGAAAAAGAAAAGGTTTCCTCCCCTGACCTACCTGACTAAGCCTCTCTCTAGTTGCTATCATAAGAGTTGCTTGCAGCTTGGGGCTCGGGTGCAACGGCTGGCTGGTGAGCAACGGCGGAACAAAGACCACCCATTTCCAGGATCAGTGGCCAATGCTCCGGACGGCCACCTGTACCGAAGCAGCCCTTGATCATTGCTCTCACTCGATCAAGAGTCACAACGTCTTGGTCGTGTGCCAAAAACTGGAAAATGCTCACCTACTCCTTTCCGGGGTGGATCTTTTACGCAGTCATTCCTGATTTTTTTTCATTCTATGATTCCCTTTTCATAGAGGTGTTCACCCTATAACCAATGTTCCCCGCCAGTCCCTGCCATATCACATCCCGCGCGAGTAGCACGAGGTCTCGCTGATAAAGTTGATTCTTCGGAAGCTGCTGGAGAATCCCTACTGGTGTGTGTCTGGGCCACAGCTATCCCACTCCCCGTTACAGCTTTTGCCTAGACTTTTCGACACCATTTTGTGCAGGTTTTGCTCTTTTCGCTACTGTCATCCTCCGTCTTATAATACTACCACTTCCTAAAACAATTCAGGGACTTGCACAATGGATGCTTTCCACTCGTCTTCAAACGAAGCCTTGAATTCAATAATTCCCACCTATCGAGTGACAGTGTGTGCTTAATTACCCGTGATTGGCCCCCGCAAATTTGACGTTGAGCAAACACTTTCCCCTCCTCCATTCTCCCTTATAGTACTTCTTTAGAAGGATTCTGTAGACCCTGCCCGAGGCAAAACGCGCCCACGAAAGGCACCCCAATCTCCCAAACTCTTGATAAAAATACAGTATTCGCGCGCCCTAGGATTATTAATCTGGTAGGATACCTACGTACTGTGAACAGGGACCGGGAACTCCTCATCTAGCGTTGGCGGGCCAGGGCCTGAAGAGTTTGTATACTCACCCCTAAGGCCTAATAAATCCACTAAGTGGGATGTGGTGCTCGTGGAATGCGAGAATATACTCGAGGGAATGCTAACTCCAGTAAGACTTTCCAGCTCGAAACCGTCCGATGCATTGGTGCTGTAATTGTTTTCGGACATAGCTTTTCTTACTTCAAAAGCTTTTCCTTTCCCTTTATCTTTCGAAGAGAGCCCTTCAGGAGAATTGCATCTTGGTGTTCCGCCCAAGGGGTCTGTCAATGCATTCCTTCTTCTCTCCCTACTTGATATCGGGACTAGAGGCTTGGAGAAGGAAAGATGCTTATCTCCCGAGTTATGCTCCTTTCTAGAAGCGATGTCCGAACCGTTACCCCCATTTTTTGTGTTTAACTGGATAGCGAGTCCCGCAGGGAGCTCGCTCTCAACCTCCAGTTCATCGCTATTCAGAGACTCTCGGGCGAAGGGACTTTGCAGCTCACTCTCAAAGACTCTCTCAGGGCTGCCACTCCCATGTCCCATCCGGCGCCTATAATGGGTTATATCCTTTTCGTCGAATATCGGTGACCTCAACAGCGCTTTAAGGACATCTTCCATGGTAACTATTCCCAAGGGTTGTTCCCTAGACAGTTTATATATCGGTGAGTCCGTCCAATATTTTGGGGTTTGGGTCAGTGGCTGTTGGTAATCGCCTTCGTTCCGTATAAACTTTAGCTTCTTGAAAATCCCATCTCTTATACCTTCACAGACCCGGTTCGGAGGAGCATTGTTGGCTGGCGTGTTGTCCTGCGTTTTCGGTTCAATGGGGGGTCCTTTTTCAACAATTGCTATGCTGTGATTTAATCCAATTAGGCACCCAGTTCTCGGTTTGGGGTATGTATGGAAACCTACTGCGAGAGCCCCTCCTGATGGTAGTCAGTATAGTATGGGAAGTGTTTAAGTTATTTCGGAAATTTGTGATTGAAGCTATACCTGAAATAAATGCAGAAGATCCCAAAGTGGAGAATCCTCGGAAACTATCGGCAGTGCATGGATTGGGACACTTCTCAGGGTCGTTACTTCTTTTGGATCCGGCGACATCATATCCTGGATGGCAATTAGCAAATCCCTTCGACGAACAGAACGGCGAGCTCCACAAAGCAGTGCAAATAACCCCATATCTTAATCGGACAGTCTTGATAGGGTGAGTCTGCTCTCCGATTTTCTTCTATCGACGAGTACACCGGGATTCTGCTATATCCCCAGTTAATGACCTTTTTCCAACGGCCGATATTCATCCTGTCTTTAACGTCAAGCATCTTGACATCCGGAATGGGCTTCATGATGTCTCTCGCTACTTTGTTCTCCAGGTCGAGGGCTCCCTGCATGACCCTGCAAACACAGATGCTCAATAGAATTATTAGGCTATCAGAAACGAATCAATAGAGATGAGAAGCATTCCACACCTCACACTATCCACAGAAAGTTTCCCTCCTTTATCTTTCACCCGAGAATGGATATCTATAAGGGAACTTAATCGCTTCGTATTGTAAGTTATCCCTCGTTCCCCAGGCCCATGGCCAACTGCGTAATGAAGTATAAGGGCAAATATTCCCGCTGGGATTGCATAGAGAGCCAATATAATGTAGATGAACCTATTTATTTGAGCCTAAAATCATCGGAAACCTGGAAACTGCTTACCACATCAAGCTCCCAAGAATAGCCACCGGATACCTGGGAAAGAGAACCTGGGGCAGAATCTCGCCAACCACTATCAAAAGACCTGCCGATAGCAAAAGCCCCCAGAGGTGGTTATCAAGCAGGCAAGCAGATATCAGCGGAAGCGAAAGATTGATAGTAATACTGCACATCAACAGACAGCCTGTATCCCGGATAGTGAGCGGGGTTATATACCCAAAAATGTGTTATACTGGATGCATACTAATAACCCAGGGGGTGTAATAACTCTTCAATCTCAAAATCTTTTCAGATAATCTCCTGCTTGAGATGAGAGAAGGACCAGAAAACTTCTGAAGATCACGGGCTCACTTCTTATTCCTCGTTTCCTCCATCGCGTAGATGCTTAACTCTGTACTGCGCCCACTCAGCGACCATTTCAACCAAGTAAATTGCCGGAGCTCACCTATCCAGTGCTACACCAATCGGTCAGTACAGCAGGCAAAAAAACAAAAAAACATCCTAGGGCGGGAACAAACAAGCGAACGCGGCGGTGCACCCTGTTATCGCTCCAGATATCAAAATCAAAAACCCAAGCAAAAGTCCCAACGCCCAGTCAGGCATTCCCCTCAACCCCGGTAAGCAAGCCGCGGGGGTTATCTCATTGCAAGACAGGGCCCCATCACACAACAGGTCCCCCCTACAAGCCAGCATCCCCTCATCGTCGAACCAAGAGCCAGTGCATGTCAAAGGCCCGTCACAACCTGTGGCCCCCTTGCACAAAGTTTGCCCTTCGCAAACATATGCTTCCCTATCGGCTGTGGGGCCCGCGGTAATGGGGCCGTCGCACCACAAGGGCCCCTTGAACTTGTGGGGCTTATGTGGCGGCGTTTCCGAGTCCTTGGGTTCGCGTATTGCGCTGGGCTCAGCGAGATGGGGGTAGTTCCGGCGGCGGAGGCCCGGGTATGCTGTCGAGAAAGCAGTGCTCCATAGGAGGAAGTAGACGAATGGGATGGCCACTGAGAGCCATCTCGCATATATAATTCTTCCAGCATTCATCATGGATATTCGAGATGAAAAGGGAAGAGCTATTTTGAAGGAGGGGAAGAGACGGATTCGTCCCTTTAACCAGAGTTTGAGCATGTATACGCGGCCATAACAGTAGACACACCATCACGGGCACTGGCTCGGTTACTCCGTAAGCCTTTGCCTCCCTCCGGGGGTTCAGCAGCTGACTAAGAAAAGATTAGATGGGTTCAACAGCACCGACACAGAAGCTTGCGAAAAGCTTCCCTGCCCCGGGCGGAGAAAAGAAAGGTATCTAATTGGTGGTTTGGGATCGTTGACCCGGCTCGCCGCGGGAATCATTCTTTGCTTGGGGGAAGCCGGTAGCGGACTATTCCCCGTCGATACAGGCCTTACAAAAGCCCTCTATTGTGATGATATTTTCATATTATCTTTGGGCGCATCGTCAATCCGAACCAGGAGTCTTCGACCATGATACAGAGTGCATCACAATGAATCACTCGCCGGCGCTAAAACTATCCTTGGCTCTCTACGAGTACCCTCGTGGGGTAGCTCATCGTTTCCAAGTAAGAGCACTTTGAGGACCAAGGGGCCTGCAATGATTCACAGCACAAGCTACCGTAGGTTCCCACGCCGTGCAAGACTTCGGCTCTGAATCACAACATTAATCCTAGATCCGGAGCGCCATTCCATCCTACTCGTACTAGTACACTATCCGCATCACGACCCATCGATCCGGTGCTAAGCCACCAGCGATTACCAGAAAGGGGGGGAAGGGGCTGGCTGTAACCGCTGTGACACAACAGCAAGCCAAGTTCCAACCCAAAACCAGGTTTTCATGCGAAACAGAAAGGGGATGATGGCATTGAGAGAGTGTTTTGTATCAAATCGATCAAGTGTTCAGTTAATTATACTAGCTCACGACTTTAACACAAAAAGACCACAACACGACACACCAAATGTATAGAAAAATCCAAATTCAATCCCACTATTTCCGCACGACCAAACCGAACAAAGGAAAGTTAAGAGGCGAGAAAAGCAAGAATAAAAAGGTAGCGAAAGTCGTCAAGACTCCCCCCCCAAAAAGAAAGCAATATTTCCCAAATCCACCACTAGCAAATCCCCACACTGGTGCCTTCCTCTACTATCGAGTACTCATGCCCATGCCGAATTGCTCCGTACAACAAAGGAAAAAGAAAAAAAGAAAAAAGGATGCCAGAAAATCATAATCTAGGGTAGAGAAAAATACTAGGGGGAAAGAAAAGAAAAGAAAGAAAGAAAAAAAATCCATACGTCCCCCGTGTTCGAAATTGGTCTTTAGAGACGGGTTGGTAGGTTATTGGGATAAAAAGTCATCATCAAAAAAATTTACACCCTGGAAGGTAGAATGGAGGCGTAGAATTTGGATTGAGAAAAGGAAGAAACGCATGAGTGATATGATTTGTTTTCAAATGAGACGAGAGACGGCGACAGGATTCCAGAACATGACACGAGGTTGCTAGAGAACGATATTGTACATTTATGACATGTCCCAAGAGTGCATGCATGCGAAGGATTCCTTAGTTGGGGTCGGGGCTACCGGAGACACCCTGGGCGGTGCCCGGGACAACCGGGACAACTTCGCCGGAGCCGTCAGTCTTCGATGCGACGCCGTCATTGCCGTACTTGTTGACTAGAATGGATGTGTTAGTAAGAGTCTACACTTTCTCATATCATGGGTGCAAGGTGACATACAGCCTACTGGTGTGATCTGGCGCTCAACAACGACGGGAGCCGCGATGGCGAGGACAGCAAAGAGGAGAGTGAAAACGGTGAGGATGCTGATGTTCTGCATTTTGACTTGATTTATATTCTTTCTTCTTTTTCCGGTATGATTTCCTGGTTCTTATATCTTTTTTTCAGATGTGTGCGGAGTGGCGATGGTACAAGAAGGAACTTGTATGCAAGACGAAAGGTCGAAAAGGGAAATAACTGCAAGAAGAGAAAGGTCTGGTGGTCGAACCGGTCGACGGGAATATGCAAAAGAGGAGCAAGAAAAAGGATTAGATTAAAACGGGAGTGAGCGACAATGTGGTGGTGAGAGGAGAAGGAAGAGGGAAATAAGGTGGAAGGGAGAATCCATATAAATATTCCCCAAAGCAACCGGGGACCTTCAGCATGCACGAGCTTCAAACAGTTGAGCGAGTAATTCCTGATACACTGACTGTTACGGGGACCACGGCCTACGATAATTCTTTAGTGATATCCCCCCACCAACAGGAGTGTCAATCGGGGAGGGGGGGGAGGCCCTGCAGAACCGGGTCGTCCAACATCGACATGGGGCAGCGTGGGGGGGGGGGGGGGGAGCGGAAACATTATCAACAGTGGTCGAGGCCTACGCTAGCGGCTAACGGTTCGTTGCCAGAACAGGACGGTAGGTCAGTGCAGGGGTTACAATGTGCGACCCAACGAAACCCGTCGAGACGTTTGAGATCAGATGGGCTTCCCCTATGAATCCTTCCACTCCAAAATAGCCTCCGCATTTCCACTCCGCTGAGCCCATCCCATACATCCGCCAAGGTTTATAGCTAATGCGAAAGTGGTAAAAGTCCACGGCGCATAACAATGGCGCTGGCAGTCTTGCCCCCTTACCCGAGCATGCTGGGGCGAGTGCGTTCCTGCTCTGGCCTTGCTTATCATATCACACAACACCAGGGGATATTCACGGTGAGGCAAAAAAAAATTTAATGTAATAATAATAATTATATTATTATCATAATAAATAAACCCATACCGTACCCCGAAGCTGTTGGTTATAGGTAGGGTACGATGGCTCAGTTGGCCCCCGCTGGCTGCTCGAAACATGCCCTCTCTCTCCCACTTTCCATATCCGCTTAGCCGAAACAAAGCTTGGCATTCTGCCTCTCTGGGCTTCACCATCACGGCACCGGTAATCTAATCCAGTATCATACCCTATGATACGAGCAACAGTACGAGTAAAGGGGGTGCTGGGTGTACGAGTAGTATCATAGCCAAACCCCGCCGTGTCCTGCCGGTATCCACCGCCACTTCCACAGGGAATCTCCAACCGTACCGGTACAAGTACTCGAGTACAAGTAGAGCATGCAATGTTAAACTCGCCTTCAAACCCCCATAGTTAGGGGAGCCTTCTTCACAAAACCACACTCGAGGATAGACTACCCGAACCGCACTACCACCGCCGAACCCGCCCAGCCCCTTCCTAAGGCAAGGAAAGGGTTGTTCTTCGACTCACCCAACCCTACCGTATTCTCCTCGTACGCACAGTGCATGGAGAACCTAACCTGCCCACAGTGCCCAGTTTCACCGCCACCGTGGCATGGCACGGTATTCCGGCCAGGAGTGGGCTGTCAACTGTCAATACAAGTACTCGTACTTGTACTGGTACCGGCGCTGCGGCAGGCAAGAAGTTTCCGAATACAAAGGGGTCGGAGTCTGTATGGGTGCTCAGATACGCACGGACTTTTCGCCATCTACAAGACCATTACTCGTACCGTACTAGTATATCCCCAGACTTCTAACCGCAGCAGACCCGCTCTCTTATCACTGCACCGCACCAGCACGAGTACTAGCACTGTACTGTACTCGTACTTGCAAACAAGCAAGTAATCACCTCGAACGGCAAATCCCCCTCTATATGCTGGTGCTACCGTTAGGGTTTTATCCACCCTCGAGCCAGGGGTCGGTTTTGAATCGTGGATTTTTTTTTGCGCAATCCCGGTCCAATATGGCCCATCCCTGGCCATAAGATAAGGTTTGCTGCGGACTACGGTAATTATGATACCGTGCGGGTTAACACCCCCTCTTTGTCATATTAAATGATAGTGGGGCATTGAAATCTTGCCTGCTCGGACTGCGCGAGTACGGGGGACCGATCGCATGAACTGGACCAGGGGCAGGTACGAGTACTACGCTCGAGTTAACGAGCACTCGAGTACTATTACACCACAGTATCAAAGCAAGCTGGCCCGGTCGGCTCGCCATCACCAAACAGGTACATACTGTACTCGTACGGTGCTCGAGTATCATACGGTACCCTTACTACCAAAACGGGTGAGCTGGCTAAAACAACTTGCGACTGGGGAATTGCCTTGCAAGGTTACAAATCGGTGCCACACGAGGGCTGTGCCCTACGAGTTCGTTACCGCAGCGCAATTTCGCTTCCTGTGAAGGAGGTAATACTGTACATGGTTTCTGGGCCAACGCACCGTTGGAACCTATCATACTGTATCATGCTTCTTTTTTAAAAAAAAAATCGAGTGAGATTATGTGAACACCTTTTCCCCACGCCAACTGTGCCGGTGGTTGGACACATCTCATGCCCTGACGTGACGTGAGTTAAATAATTATTATACACCTGGTTTCCCAGTGGGCGGGTGGGCAAAGAACTTTCTTTCCTCCACACTCTATTTTGCAGGACCCGGTCCGGTTAAGAATTAGAGACGGGGTCGGGTCGTTCGTTTTAAACTGCTGAATAAACCGCAGTATTCCCTCGGCCGCAGGAGATCCTCTGCTCAAATTCCACCCTCCTCCCTGCAATATTGCCTTTTTTCCTGGGGGTGATTTGGAATCTATGCACCTGGTCCATTCCGGTCGACATGCCACCTCCAACGTCATCGCCCTTTCCGCCTATGATGCCGCTCTTTCTTGTCAAGGCTCCTTTGGTCGAGGAGCCCGTCATGCCGTCGGACCTGTCGACAGCCATATCTTCTGGAACGGGATCGAGGGGCGGAATATATACGGGCACGCACGAATTTGCGCGCTTGCCTGTTCCGAGTTGGTAGTACTCGTTGTTACCCCACCAAAGCACATCGGCGCCATAGTTGACATCATGCACAGGCGAGTTCGGGGAAGAGGAAGCGTCTACTTTTGTGAGGTTATCCATGATGGCAGAGGTATGAGTTGCGCCAACCGAAAGGTATTTTGGCCTTATAGGTATGACTTTATTGGCCCTTTCATCGTCTGGAAACCATGGTGGGTTAGCTAACAACTGGCCCTTTGAAGGGGTTTGGGGAGTGGGAAGCTGACATTCAGAGAGTCCGCTCAAAGATTTGACCTTAATCGGTGACCCCTGGACATGAGTCCACCTTCCATTTCCTAGGTTCCCAAAAATCCCAGTCCCGCAAGCGAGTAAATCTGAGTTGACTCTTCCTTTCTCCGTGTCCCCAACATCCACCACAAAGTAACTGTTTGCCCCGCCGGCAGCCAAGGTCTTTACTGTCGCCGTTAGGCTTCCCCCCGGGTATTGGGACTTTAATGATAAAGGTGTGGGAGTCAGGACAAGGTTGTTTTCGGGGTCATAGTCAAACCCAAGTTGACCGTTCGTATTATCCCCAAACGAGAATACCTGACCCTTGTTATCACAAACTAGGGAGTGGTAATCACCAGCTGCAATTTTCGTGATCTTTTGACTATTGAGGCCGGTAATTTCGTGACAAGTGTCGTACGGCTTGTCCTTCGGACGGGCAGCATAGGTCAACCCTCGAACACCCATCTGCCCCTTTGCTGGGAACGAGGAAGAAGCAGCTGCCGAAAACACACGGCCTTCAGAAGTGAGGAGAAGGACATGATCAAGACCGGAAGCTACGTCCGTAACGCTGGCAATGGTCAATGTTATGCAAGGCGAAAAAAGTGAATGCTCGAGCTTGCCTTTCAAAGTATCCTAACGCCGGTTTTAGTGTCCTATAATGGATATTGGCTTCCGAACTTAAACCGGGAATCCAAGAGGGTTCAGAGGGTTTTGTGCCAGAGAGTTGGTATTTTTTAGCTATTGGGAGACTGTAAACTGCTCCGTGTTTTGAAAGGGCAAGGATCCTGTCTCGCGAAAGTTGAGCTTTTACGATATTCTTTCCTTTCAGCGTGACTTCTGGTGTTTTGATGCCATCTGCATAGGCTGTGCCCCACTGGAGCAGATCTCCCTTTTCCGTTACGGCGACTGCGTATAAAATCAGCCTATTAATTCGCCCAAAGTAAGGGAGAATGGCTGCTCACCCCCAGTGTTGTGGTCCAACCTGAGATCCCGAAGCAGCATATTGTCAAAGAAGGGGAGACGACGGGGTGACTTTATAGGAGTCTCGTCCGAATCAGGAGCTACCACTCGGCCGCTTCTGCGAGTTAGTTACTTTCTACATTTTGACTGCTGGGAGAGAAGCATGTACACATTGTTTCCCCATGCGTAGACACCCGGGCTTTGTAGACTATTTTCTACCTAAATTACAGACACCATTAGAAGGTTGGTGCTCGAGGCTTCTTCTAGAAGTTCTTCAGCAAACCTGGATGTGCTGTACGCTTAACTTCCTTCTAAGATCTTCAGTAGAAGTGTCGGGAGGAGCTTCGGCACGCACTTCCATCCCGGACGGCCATTGGCAAATAGCAAGGCCGCCTAACAATCCTAGTGTAGTAGCGACAGTCTTTCGGTTTACGGTAGGGAGATTGGATGAAGTACGACTGCGGGAGCTCGCTGATATGTTCCGAAAATAAACAAATCGACTCCCTGGCTTAGTCGGCTCCGAAAGTATGAACCGTAGTCTTGGAGCGGTTCGAATGGGTTTGAACATTGTCCTAGATGTTCTTGTGGGATTTCCTTCTGTCAGAAAGAGAATAAATGTGTAATTGGTAATAAGGATTGGAGTCTCATGCGGGGGAGCTTTCAGAAGCCTTTATACTTTGGCTGGTGAGGAAAGAACCACCGGCTGCTAGTAAATATTTGCTGCCATTATGACATCAAGACTCTGCTGCAAGTACGGGACCGCCACTGAAACAAGAACGGTCGTGTTTGGTATAAAATGTGCCAGAGCAGGGTAACCAACCCGCCACCAGCACCCAGACAGAGCCCCTACTGTGGCTGTGCGTTCGAGAGTGGGTACGGGCTATTTTTGGCGGTATGGTGCCGGTGGCTGGTCTTTGGAGGTTTTGGTGGAATTGTTGTTTCCACCTCATCCAAAGCTTACAATTTGTCGACAAGCTCGGGAGCCCCATCAACGCAGATTCGAAAACTAGTTCCGGAGTCACTTGTTGCATATTCCATGTTTGAAGATCACTGGTACCATTCCTCTTCGCAGCCGGAATTCTCTAGTCTGCGCCGACAAGAGTCGGTGAAAAGACAATCTCCCGTGAGGTCCTCTTTGATACCTCTACTTAAGAATTCCGCCAAGTTGAATTGGCAGCAATGCAATGAGGCGTTTGGGTGACTGAAATACTGACGCGTGCTATCATACAGCAACGAAACTCTCGGAAGGTTGCGGAGGAGAGAAAGACACCTCCGGGACCCCCGGAAGCTGATACTCCTAGACGACCGAAGTCCTACACCAATCTGAGATGTTTGGGATGGCAAGTGGATACCTCGCTTGTGCCCGGAGGTAACCAAGAAGTTTCGAACGACATTGCTGAGGAGCTGCCACCAAGACCAAAGTCACGAAACGATCTAGATGACCTGAAGGCCGAGCGGTATGGGCGAGGGAAAGGGTTGAAGGCCTGTGGGAGGGGTAGAAGAGCTGCCAAAAAAACAAAGGAACTTAAAGATGAACTGGACTTTGCGGACTGGTATGGGGAGTTCGAGGGTGACCTCGAGGATGCGAATAGCGAGCATAAGTAAGCTACAATGTTTCTCGCGAGCATTTCGGTATATCTTACCAGTCTTTATCGCAGACTTTTCCAGTACACATTAGACTCGTACCTAACAACTTGCCATTCTCTCATATCTACAACGGACTCCACGCTTAATCTCCTCACAGAGCTCGAGAAATCTTTCCAGACCGTTCACTCACAGATCTCAAGCTTTCAGGAGGGTCCGGGAACGTCGAGGGCTGGGAGTTTGTACATGTAATTCTGGATAGTACAGATAGGATGCCAAGTCTGAGTATATGCCGCTAATTCTTGAGGGGTTAGTGATTGGCTGTAGGAGGTTTGGATGTTCGATATTGCTAGGTGTGTCCGAGTGATGAACGTTAGAGATACCGAGTGTTGATAGAAATTTTGATGCCCTCCCGGTGGTAACCATTCCCCTGAGGCTGCGCTGCCCCAGTTCAATCTAGCCGGGTGTCTCACTTGGGTGGTTGGCCTCCTCGAAGGGCCGGCCGGGCAATTAAGGAGGGCGGAGGCTACAGAATCTTGAGGGATTGATTTTTCGGCCTTTCACCGGTCTCTTGTATGACAGGGGATGAATAACGAGTGAGATTGCGTGGCGGGAACTACATCTTCAATTCCTAGGGGCTATGCACTGCTACTAAGTGTAGCGTACGGGAGAGCGGGTGGAGAGTTTTTTTTTTCTCGAGCGAAAGGCCTCCGATTTCTGGGATGTTATGTCATATCATATCCTATCACCCTATTTCTGTGGATTCCGCCGTTGCAATGACTGAAGCATTGTATGATATGATACTTGTAGCATATGTCCCATGTACTAGTACTGTAGGGGTTACGAGATGTCTGGTGGGGTGGTTAGGGCTAACCCCACTTTAACCTTCAACATCACCGGTGAAATCTCTCCATCCTCTCACTCCATCATTGTCCCACATCTCAACCTCACCAAATCCTACCCAGTATCCAACCCATCGAAAACCCGCGCCAATTACCGAGATGACATTCGATACCTCCACCCGACCGGAGCACATACAGGGCATCCTGTCCAGTCTCGATCGTTACAACCCAGAGACCGTCACGATTTTTCAAGACTACGTACAACAGCAGTGTGAGAACAGGACATACGACAGTCTTGCAAATTTGGCTCTTCTGAAACTGTGAGTATTCTATACCCGAGTTTCATGCCTTTTCTTTGTTACTGTGATGAGTATATCGTCAACGTTTCCTATTACCCGAGGGGGATGAACCCTCTATAACTGAGTGAAATTTGTCATTTCTGATGTACTGCGGCTTCTCCCTGCCATCGCGTCTCCTTCTTTCCTCCTTCTTCATTCTGGGGCGAAAGAAGCTAACGGGGGTACCCTGCAAAAAAAAAAGCTACCAATTCAACCCCCACCTCACCCGCGACGAGACAATTACCAACATCCTCGTTAAGGCCCTCACCGTCTTCCCATCTGCCGACTTCGGCCTCTGCCTGCACCTCCTTCCAGCTAACGCCCTGACCGAACCGCCGATCGACCCCTTCGCGGAAGCTGTGCTGAAACTGTTCTCCCTCTCCCGCCTCTTGGAAGCCTGCGAATACAGGGATTTCTGGATGACACTCGATTCCGACGACTTGTACGCCGATCTGGTCACCGACTGCGCCGGCTTCGAGGAGCTGATCAGGCTCCGAATCGCCAGCACTATAGCCCAGTCCAATCGTGAAATTACTAGGGAGCTATTGGAGGGCTGGCTGAATCTTGTCGGGGATGGGTTTGATAGCTTTGTTAAGGGGAGCTGCGGGTGGGCGATTGAGGGGGATGTGGTAAAGATTCCGTTGAACAAGGAAAATGAGGCGAAGACTACGGTCACTAGGGAGAATGTGAAGTTTGATCGTGGGTTTCCCCCTTCCTTTTTCTTGTCCACCTACTAGCTGGTGGACTGGGAATAGTGGCTAATGCTCGGTGGGAAAATGTAGAATTCCAGAGGGTTATCAAACGTGCGTATGAGCAGCCGGCTTAGGGTGGCGGCGGGGGTGGGTGCTGATATGAATGCTTGGAGTGGATTTCTTTTCACTGCTGGTATCGTCTTGAAACAAGACAGAGGTGTATCAAAACCGGATCTGGCTGGGATACTTGGAGTTTGCGGAGTCAGAAGTCTATAAAAGTTTTTTTCTCATCTTTAGATTTTCCTTTCTTTAATTCTAGCTTGATTTTTTCATCCGTCACTTGTTCTTGCACATTCTTTCCTCCTCCCTTCTCCCCACCGGCCTCTGGGTTCATGTTTCATATTTGAGAGAATACCGTGATGCGTCAGCTTGCGGGGTCGGCATTGTCCGAATTCACAACGTGTCACTCGACAAACTTCCACCATCCTAAAAGTGACACAGCTATAGCTGAACCCGGGCCCGGTGCGGTATCCAGAGACAAGCCAAACCACGCCAGCTCACACCCCATCAATCCCACTAACTCCCAACCCCTTGGCAATCCTCTCCACCTTCCCCCCTTCCCAATCGCTTCGATAGGGATCTGTACGCCTCCGGAGTCGGCCCCTACCGTAGGGTGTTTGGTGAGGGCGGTGGAGATTGAAGTTGTGTCTACAGTACCGTGCCGGTATAGGTGGAGTGTGAAGGATGGGAGTCATAGTGCTATGGCGCTGCTCGTATGCCGTAGTATCCGTGGGGGACTTTTGCAGTAGAAGGGGGATGTGTCATAGTTGTATGATATGCTAGTGGGTGGAGCAAGTACCGGTAACGGTACGTTATATTATGGGATGGATGACTACTCTGGAACAGAACTGCACGATCGTGCTGCATGCCAAGAGTGGGCGCATTTTGTGACAAGTGGTGGTTAGAGCCAGAACCAAACTCCAGCCGCAGACAACAGCATTCCCCAAGCAGAATCTTGACATTATGGTACAGCATTAAAGTAATTACCGCTCCACAGAAATCCATGATATAAACCTCCCCCCGCCCTCCCTAAAGCTTCAGCAGATACCCCACCACCACCCCACTCAGGCACGCGCAACCCAATGGAGACAAGCAACTACTCCCACCTCCGAGAATCCCTCACCCCAGCAATCCTCCAAAAATCCACCCTTTCCCCGAACCCCGCCACAGACCTGGAAGACCTCAGCGACTTCCTGGACTACCTAACCCAAGAACTCTACGCATTCCTCCCACCACCCCTCCAAATCGCCACACCCCTCTCCACCCCCACCTCCACCCCCTCCACCCTCCACGCCCTGATCCCCCCACTCTCCACCCTCCCCCTATCGATCGCCGAATCGCTGATAAACTACGACATAGTCCCCGACACCGACGACGTCCAGAAGCTGATCTCGCGCGTGCTGTCGGAGTATATCGATGCGGCGTGCACACCTCCGCCGGAGTGGACGGGGGCGGGCGGTAGGAAGGATACCTGTGAGATCTGTGAGAGGACTGGAGTTGGAATCACGTATCATCACCTGATTCCGGTACGTTTTCTCTTCCTCTGATCTCGTCCGGGAGGAGGAGTTGACATTTGGGTTGATGAATGGAATGGCTATGATCATCATAGAAATCTACGCATGCAAAAGTACTCAAGAGGAAGTGGCATCCGGAGGTTATGCTTAATAGCGTTGCGTGGCTCTGCCGGTTTGTCTGCCTTTCTTTTACACTCTTTATCATTATAAATTTTTTTTTCTTTTTTCCCTCCTTTTTTTTGGTTGGAGTTGATCGTTTTGGTTTATCCGTTACCCAGATCGTGTCATTCTACCGTCCATCGTTGCGCTTCGAACGAAGTCCTGGCTAGGGAGTATTATACCGTCGCGCTATTGCTCGAGAGGGAGGATATACAGAGGTGGAGGGCGTACGCGTCCAGGCAGAGGTGCAGGAGTGGGCTTAGGAATTGGTGAGGATGGTGTTGGGCGTGCTGTACTGTACTGTACTAAACTATACTCGTACTAGGTAAATTGTAAGAGTGGTTTTATTCTTGGTTGTGTTTTCCAGCTTTCTAGTTGTCTGGCTGTATAGCGTTCAATGTAAAGTCACGTATCGTGCATACAGTATTATGATAAAAAATGGATAGGGAGTATCCGGCGCATGGGATATCACTCGTGGCAACTGGCAAGACTTTGGGCTTGGCGGTCGGGGGACTGCAAATACCCCCCCCCTCCGGATTCACGACGATGGGCGGGTATCCTGCAGCTTCATCACGGATACATGCATCAAGGTGGGAAATTCGGTTGAGTGGGGAAATCGACGTAACCTCTAGTTGACCGACGTTACCCTAACTGCGAGTAAAAATAGCCTTTCAAAGGCAATGCAAGAGAAAGAAAGAAAGAGAGGAGGAGAAAAAAAATCAAATTTATATCCATGTGCGGAATCTCATCCGGGCCATGAGGGAGAAAAAGGAGAAAAAATGAACAAAGGAAAAAAAAATCAAATTTATATCCATGTGCGGAATCTCATCCAGACCATGAGGGAGAAAAAGGAGAAAAAATGAACAAAGGAAAAAAAAATCAAAATCAAATCATCATCATCCTAAATCCATCTTACATTTCCCCCCTGAAACTGACCCGACTGGATTACTGCTCCGCGGCGGGTATTCTCATTTCTCCTAGTCCTAGACCTCCCAACCTCTCGTTGATAAATTCCACCATGGACTTGAACATTGATTTCCCGCCTGTGCACGCGCCGTACTCGACATGCTGGAGCAAACCGCTGAACGTGGTGAAGTGCTTCTGCGGCTTGCGCTTCATGCCGGGCTGTAGTATGATGCCAAACACCTCCGGATCCGGACATTGGTAGATCTTCGGCATGTGAGCGATGGGAGAGAGCATGTGCTTCTGCAACGTTGCGAGCGACCTAAACCGCTTTCTGGTGCCCATTGGGCACAAGGGGCATTCGTATTTCCCGTCCGGGAGAAGGTACGGATGTGTGGGGATGCTCGAAGGCGTGGCGATTCCGGATTCGGAGGATGCGGCGCTGATGGGTGGGTCGTGGGGATCTGGGAGTTGGGGGTGGGCGGTTGGGGATTGCATATGCGCTTGCAGTTCGGTGAATGTTTGGAAGACTGGCTTCCTGGTGGTGGCGGTGGTACTGGGAGGGCCAGGACAGATGGGGCATTCGAAGGTTCCGTCTGGAAGGAGCCAAGTGCGGATTTGTTCTATGGTCGGCTCCGCCGCGAGTTGGTTTGATGCGACGGAACTGATGGATGGGGTGTAGGGGCCGCCCGCCGAGGAGAAGCTTGCTGTTGAGAAGGGTGGGGTATTTCTGGGTATTCCGCCACCATCGCTAACGCCTGCAGTTAGTGTTACGGTTCCGGTGCTGCTGCCGCGTGGGGTGTGGAGCCCGCTGCCGCCCGAGGAGGACGAGGCTTCGTTTGAGAATGAGTCCGGAGTGAGTAATACCCCACCGGCAGGGATGCGCCTTGGGAGGCCATCGAAGGCTTCGGATTGTGCGCAGTCGCTCCCGGCGTCGCTCGAGTCCTCTGGAGTATCAAAGCTTGAGCTATCACAAATGCTCGAGACTTCGCTGTTCGCTAAGGAGAGGTTCGCCGTCTGTCGGGCGAGAACGGCGTCCAGGTCGGTAATGATGTTTGTCTTGTCCTGCGCGATGATAGCTCTATCAAGCTTGTCCCTCGTGATACCGGACTTGCAGTACCCGGACTCGAGATGGGCCAGCAAACTGGACGGCGCAGTGAACTTCTTCTTGCACCCTCCAACACAACCCACCTTCTCCGTTAGGAGGGGTTTATGTACCCGGGCGCGCGCACTGTGAGTCCGCAAACCTCCCGCCGTCTCGAAGCTCCTATCGCATTCATTACAATAGTGTATTCCGCGGATCCGATCCGGAGGCGGTTCCCTGAAGTTAGGGTGCGCCGCACTAAGATGCGTATAAAGGCGCCTTTCGCTGGCGAATTCCCGGTTGCAATCGCAGCAGCGGAATCCACTAACCGCGCCAGGTCTGCAATTCGATGCGACGTCCTTCTTATGCCTCCTGAAGGCAGACTTACTATAAAAGGTCATCCGGCAAGCCGGGCAGTCCGTATGGGTCCCTTCTCGATGCTTGCCTTGGGGGTGGGCCACCCAGCATTGTGTGCAAAATTCTGACATTCCGGAATGTGTGTGTGTGGAGTGATCGATAGCTGGTGATGTACTGTGCTTCTTTTATGGCAGCCTCGTCCGGTATATATATGCATGACCTAGGAGTTAGGCCCCCCACCCCACCCTACCCTACCAACCCTACGACTGCTCGTACTGAAAGGGACGGATCGGGTAAGCTTCACTCACGAATCAAACGGGTAATCGATACCTCACACAAGAAAGAGAATTCCAAATTTAGGTCTGTACGAGTACAGGTCAATCGATGTAAAGAAAAGAAAGAACAACCAAAGTAAAATTATCAAAGGTAGGTACAGGCTTTCGTGTTCGGTGTTGACCTCGTTTCATTTGTTGTCTCCCCAACCTCTTCTTCGGGTTCACCTCTTGTTTGAAGAGGGAGGAAGGAAAAGGATTCCTTTAGGTCCTCTCTGGTCCACAGCACACCACCATGGCCAGTCACAACCAAATCCTAACAGCTCAAACAAATCTAACTCAGCAACACGAAACCCAGAGCTCGAGAAAGAAGAAAAGAAAAGAAAACAAACGCATTTTCACTCCCACAGTACCGGTAACACAGCCGCAAGTATGATATTTATGATATGTATGACAATAATACAAGTGTTATCACCACACAAGGTCGAATATCGGATACAGGTGCTGTACTGCGCTGTGCCCGCATGCTACTCGAGTATGATACGGTACCGGCACTCCGATAGGCGCGCGACGCGCTGCGTGAGGCTTGGTGTACGAGTACAAGTAAATTAGCATCACGAAGCAATTGACAGCACTGTTGCCTAGTAAAAGGTAATGCGGCGTCCTAAGTGAACCGTCAATCAGTGGGACTTGTAGCCTACCACATGCGGGCTCCAGGCAACCGACATCTGTCTCACAAGTGCCCAGGGTATGGCCACTGCTGCACTCGTACTGGTGCTGTGCTGGCAGATAGTACGGTGAATCGAGGACGGTCCGGTCCGGGGGATGGGGTTTCCCTTTGTTCAATAAGCTTTTTTCACGACGGCAGAAGCACCTGTTCAAGTGCTACTTTGGTGAGAATGGGGTTCATAGATCGCCACTGGGGCCCTTGGTGGTATCGGTACCGGCCGGCTTTCGTTTTTATGGATCGAATATACGAGCAAAGTATTCGGACGCCGCAGGAAAACAACGGGATAACTATCGTACAACTTTTTGACCTTTTTAACCCCACCCAAGGAGATCGAAATCCCACCGCCCTATTCCATCATGCACCCGGCCCTCCGGACGCTGAATGTTCGTTGAAGAGAAGGATGCCGTGTATGTTTTGGGATACTTGTGTCACAAATGTCTGATGGAAGGCTTTTTGTCCTCACCCACCCTAGCTGCGTTAATAAACGCTCCCACCCCGATCAAGATCATCCTCTTCTCCACTAAAGACGGCCCCATCGTCATCAGAACCCGCCTTGCTAGTCTCTATGACCTTTGTGGGTTTAGGATTGGTGAATTCCTTTGACAGTAAAACCTTCTGCCTCAAGTACTCACGGTATGTCCCCTCGTCTTCTTCACCCGAGGAAGGCATTTCATACAGCCTACTCGGAGTCTCCACGGGCTCTTCCATGGTTTCCCGGTTGCTAGGAGCGGACACTGAAGACAGATTGGAATTGCCTCCCATCCAAGGATCCCCACCCACTTCACGGCTCTCTTTGTATTCCTTCTCGAGTTTATCCAACCACTCAGCCTCAACATTCTTGACGTCGTCAGCGCTAGCACACGCAGCATACTTCTCCAGAAGCTCCCCATTGATTTCTAGGAAGCTCCCCCCGTATGGGAACGGTTCCAAAATCTGTTCGGCCCAATCGGTATGACCCCCGATAACAAAGCAAGCAGCAAGCGCTTCCGCGCAATTCAACCTCCACGGTTTTCCATAGTTGACAGTGTTGGCGGCGATAAGGTATGGTAGTAACCGTTCGCATTTCCCGCCGATTTTGTGGAAGGGAACATCCGCCAGCCGGGCCCATGAGCATTCGACCACGGCTGCGCCATGCTTCTCCATGAGCTCTTTGTCGGCTGGAGATACTACTGTTTTACCAGTGGGCCTGGAGGGAACATGTGAGTCTATTTCCTTCCGCCCCCCCCCCGATGTAACCGCCAACCAGGCAGCAGAGGAAGCCGAAACCTACGTGATAACCACACCATTGAACTTTTTGTCAAGAGGCATAGATCTAATCAAGCCTTCTCGCATTAATTTTTGCCCCGAACATCTCTTTCGATCGCAGTGGCCGAGATCCCAACAACGAGCTACGAGGCTTGTGAGTAAGAGCTGTAGATAGCGGGGAAAAGATGAAAAAAAAAAACCTTTGAAAGGGAGCTTTTGTATCTCCCTCTCCCCCTGTCCGCGATCCTCGCGGCGCTCGCGCCCCTGGTACCGTTGGCCCCTCTTCTTAGCCATGATCGCCGCGAAGCGTTCGTGGAGATGGGCTGGGAAGGTTGTGTGTGTGCGTGTGAATTTGGGTGGGGAGGGGGGGGGGTTCGGAGAGTGAAAGGTACAGCAATTTAAAAGGTGGAGCAGTCTACCGTAGAAATCCACAGTTTATCAACTGGACTCCACCGACTATTGATGTTTGGAGGCGAAAGGCCAATCTTATCACAATTGGCCGAGGTAACCCTTACCAGTATTGGGTAAACACCATGGATAGACCATAAAATCTCGGTGTTGGATGGCAAAGGTTTCAAATTCACAGCAGTATGATATGATATGTTAGACTCCCCCACTGAAGCAAACGCTGGGGTTTCCGCACGTCAGTATTCTTCCAGTATCATCGTTGCGCGGAAAATATGAGCTGATCCCAGGGTCAGGGCTAATCTTGGCACAAGCAACTCTCTAGCCTAAACAAACCACTGCACAATCTCTCCAACCCCCAGCTCCAGGCATAGCTCACAACTCAAAGTAACCATGGTCCTTCTAACCCTCACACCCCAGCTCACGGCTGCGATAGAAGTCTACAACAAGGAGAAGCCATCCTCCTCGATCTCAGTTCCCGCAACGCACCTTGATCACCGTCAAATCCATCTCATCTCCCAAGCCCTCCTCGACACCTCCGAAGATAAATCCCAATACCGCCTAAGCACTCTCCTACAAGGATGTAGCCTCTATCACCCCCCATCCCCGCCGAGGCCCGAGCCGGTATTACCTCCTCTATTGCCCTCCTCTCGCCCTCAACAAGCTAACAAAATGCCAGACTCAGGAATATAAAGACCTAATGGCACGCCTCCGCCGGCAGGAAGAAGAGCGGGTTTACAACGCCCTAACAAACAAACCTCGAGACATCTACGAAGAAGAGGACGAATATACTTTTCAAGACTTGAAATCGCAGTTATCAATAATCTCTAATGTATTACTGTCCACGATAGCTACTTCTGTGGCCGTGTGGATGGTTGCCGGTGGGTGGGATGTCCCGCAGAGATTCGCCTTGGCGTTTGCGTCTGCTATTGTCGTCTGCATAGCGGAGGTGGTGGTTTTTAACGGGTACCTGAGAAAGGTGGAGGAGAGTCGGGAGTCGGAAAAGATTAAGGCCAAAAATGAAGTCAAGGAGATTGTCAACGTCTGGGAGATCGGCGGGGTTGCTAGAGCGCTGGATGGGGTTAAGAAAAGGAGATAAACTCGTTCATGGTGCCCCTCCGGCGCGTCTTGTGTGGATACGGTGTCCGGACCCGGTCCGTGGACAGAGGCCCGGGTTCTGCTCTGTTTGGGCAATATTTATTTGCAACTTTACTCGCACCCTAGACAGTTGATTACATACTTGAGTATTTGTTGATCCTGATTTTTCCCCCATAATTATGTCCCGGGTGATAGCGTTTGCCGCGGGGACCAGGAGGGCTCCGAATTGTGATCCAAAAATTAGCCACGATAGTAGAATCAAGGCTAGGATCGCAATAAATGAGGCTTCCACCCCTAGGATAGAGTAATAAGAGTTGCAACAGCGGCTCTTTGTTTCGTGAGCTCACAACTCCAGAGGCTTTCCCAGGGAGAATCTTTAGATTGATCAATGCATGTACCCATCGAGTATTCCGGAAACAAGGCATTGGAGCATCTCAAAGACGTGTGGATTGACCTGCAGGTATCCCCCACTGTCAATGAGTGGTGGTATACCAGTAGTGTTATCACCATGCTGTACGTGATATCATACCTGAATATTTCATGAGAGGTGTTAAATACGGAGCCGGCTCACGTGACAGGAAAAGGACCCTGATGGGTAGGGCAGAAGTACTGACTGATATAGGGAGTGGACCCTAAGTCCATCATATGATACCACCCATCATATTCCTTGCTGAGACCCTTGCTTGCATGAAAGTCGAGTGTAGGCAGCGATAAACAATCCGTCTACATGGAATTGATGAATAAGATGGCAAAAAAATAGCGGTAAGTGAAATCCCGAGAAGGGAAGAAGAAGAAAGGCTGGAAAAAAGCCTGCATCGGATCTCTGATGAGGATCTGTGATTCACAGCACTATTATGCAGCGGTGCTTATTCACACCCAACTTAGGGCACGTTCCCACCCGTTAATCATAGGTGCAAGCCTTTCCTAACCAACACCTAGTCCCGTTGCGTTACAGCAATTGGAGACAGCATACGGTATCCATGGACTGCCCCTTGTCCCCCTCTCAACGCGTCGAGCAAAACATTCGCCCTAATTCGCATACTTCTTCCTCCGTGCTAGTCAGTCACTTCTCCCTCCCCTCCCCTCTCCCCTTCCACCTTTCCCCTTCATCCATCCCATCCTCTCCCCCCTCTTTCCACCTCCGCTCCACCTTCTCCTTTCCTCTCCCATCTCTCTCCTCCACCCTCCCTCAACTCTCACCCCATCCCAACGGGTTGAAATTCTCCACAAGTCAATATAATATAGAAGATGTCTATCGTTTCACTCCTCAACGTTAATGTGCTCAACAATCCTGCTCCCTTTGCCGACAAGTATCGGTTTGAGATCACCTTTGAGTGTCTCGAGTCCTTGACCAAAGGTAGCGTTGATTGTTGGCTCCTTCCGCAATTTCTATTCTCACTGACCCGTTTTCTCCACAGATCTCGAGTGGAAGCTTACCTATGTCGGTTCAGCCAACTCGTGAGCTATATCCCATCGGAATCCATTGCTTTTCATCCCCGATCTCATATTCACTAACATTCTCAACAGTACCGAGCACGATCAGGAGCTCGACTCCCTCCTCGTTGGACCCATCCCCGTTGGTGTGAACAAATTCATTTTCGAGGCCGAACCCCCCACCCTTGCCAAACTCCCCTCTTCTGAGATATTGGGAGTTACCGTTGTTCTTCTTACTTGCTCTTATGACGGTCGTGAATTTGTTCGTGTTGGTTACTACGTGAGCAACGAATACGATTCCGAGGAACTCAACAACGAGCCTCCCAAGCAGGTTCAGACCGATAGGATTGTGAGGAACGTTCTCGCCGAGAAACCCCGTGTCACCAGATTTGCCATCAAATGGTACGTACACGATCCCCACCCTTCCAATGTCGCTCTTCTCACGTTTTTCCAGGGACTCTGAGGAATCCGCTCCTTCCGAATTCCCCCCTGATCAGCCCGAGGCCGACGAGGCCGATGATGATGCCGACAATTACGGGGCCGAAGAGGAGGAAGAGATCGAGGGTGAGGAAGAAGCTGGGCCCGCCCCTGCCGATGAGGACGTTGAGATGGGTGGAGCAGATGATACTGCAGGCCCCGTCACTGGCAAGGAAGCCGATGAAGTTTCTGATGACGGCTCCGAGGACTTGGAAGCCGAGAGCAGCGGCGAAGACGATGAAGAGGAAGAAGAGGGTGAGGGCGAGGCGGAAGAGGATGATGCTATGGTTGATGATTCTGCCGCAGGCAAGTCTGCTGAAGCCAGCTCCTCCGCTCAACCAACCACTACTCAGCCAGTTGTCCCCAAATAACCGACCTCCGGTTCCATACGAAACACCTCAAAAAGGAGGGTTTTGATCACCCAGGGGTTTGCTTGTACGACTGGAATGTTGTCATGGGTTATGGTTCAATGTTCTATTATAAAGTAGGGTCCCACTGTTGGTTTAAAATCGGGTGTTGGAATGTTTCTTTGTATGGGGCTGCCAACGATGGCTGTGATACATAGATGTTTTTTCCTAATAGCAGGCTTGAATTATAATCTGCACAGCTAGCCTCGAGGGTTCTTTTTTTTCTTTCTTTTTTCTTTTTGCTTTGAGTAATAATTCGTTTCCATCTCGGAGCCTTTTATGTAGCGATAGACCACCCACTCAAAGGGACTCGTGACCGTTGATTTGTCTGAGATTTTCACGCGAGTGACCAACTATGATGTGATATTTTCGTGGTATGGGGAAGTAAGTTGATCGGTTAATTGAGGACATACGGTAGTGCTCAAGCAGACTAGGGTCATGTTGCTCCATGCCGGTACCGCAGCTAGCCAGGGAAATTTGGTGACAAGTAATCCACTACGAGTGTGATCTGCCAGCAGGCCTTACTATCACGTCCATTTCGACAATAGAGTAGCTGAAAGCGTGTAAACCTGATTTTGTGCCGGATACGGGTGGTAATATCGATAGCAGACAGTATGCAATAGCTGGATAGCATTGGCCAACATTTCGGCGGTGTTGCGACGTCACTGCCAAGAACGTTATTATCTGGGGTTGGCCCCACAATGGCGAAAGCTAATACTCCTAGAATCCCCAGGGATTGGCACCTTCTTGGGCTCCTCCCAGGATCAATCCTCCCCACCGCAGCAACCCCCCCAGCCTCCTACAACCCAAAACCTACCATGGATTTCCTACGGTCAAAGCAGGCTGGAATCCAGCACGATTTTACGGGAGCTCTAGCAGCTTCAGATTTATTTATTCTAGATGAGGTTGGCGCCCGCAGCTCACTCTCCAAATAAGCTTCCCGAACTGACATTGTCCACTGGAAGGTTGAAAAATACGGAATCGAATCCTCCATATCTGTCATCGCCTACGACCCAATTCAATCACTTCTCGCTGTCGGAACAAATGAAACGGCGACCACTCCCGGGAAGGTCTATGTGTTTGGTCAGAAGCGAGTGCGGGTCACATTCACCTTGACACGGAAGACCGGCGTCAAGTTTTTGAAGCTATGCGATAGTAGGATTGTCATCGTGGATACCAAGAGCGAGCTCTCGGTGTTCGATATGACCGATCTCGAGGCTCAGCCCGCCAGGTACTCTCCTCCGGGAATCGTGAGCGCGGTTTTAACGGATCCGTCACTGGATTGGGTATTCATGGGCTTGCAGAATGGAGAGGTGATTGCGTATGACCTTGACCGGCAGCTCAAGTCGCCATTCCTAATACCCAATCTGTGGAGGCAACGCTCGCCGAAGGCCAGGATCTTGCCGATCGTATCCCTTGCGTTACATCCACGGGATCTCGGAACACTCCTTATCGGGTATCTAGAGGGCTGCGTTGTTTTCTCATTGAAGCAGCATGCACCAACGCTCTTCCTTCATTTCGAGATACCGCCTGGTGCGCCTGGAGCTGATCCGGAACGGAGCATGCTAAATTCTGTGCGGAGGCCGAGGCTCTGCGAGGCTCTGTGGCATCCTACCGGGACGTTCATCTGTACTACGCATGAAGACTCTTGTCTTGTGATTTGGGATTCACGGGACGGCAGGATCGTACAAGCTAGGACTCTGCAGGATACAAATGTTAACATTCCGTGCGGTCCGAAACCAAGCATGCTCAGCGAGACCGAGGGAACTATAATTGTCAGGCAACCGCTATTTAAAGTGTCCTGGTGCTGTACGGATAACCCCGATGACACCAGCATCCTGGTGGCGGGTGGAAATGTGTCTGTGATGCCCAACAAGGGCCTCACACTTCTGGATCTTGGGCCCACTCCGAATATGCTCACTTCATCGGCTCAACTCGTCTCGGATCACTTTGCGTCACCTAGAAGGCAGCGCATTTTACCGACTCCAGCCGATCTCGATGTTGTCGATTTCTGTTTGCTTCCACGAACCAATCCTCATTACGCTGGGAGCCATGACCCCGTCGCTGTCGTTGCCCTGTTAGCTTCCGGGGAGCTAGCAACGCTAAGCTTTCCGGATGGCCAGCCCATCTCCCCGGCGTTGGTTTTCCATCCTTCCTTGTCATTGATTCACCCCCGCGCGACAACCGCCAATCTCTCGCCTGTGAACCGCCAGCGGTGGTTGGGCATGACCGAGAACCGTGATAGGCCAAAGGAAGTAATCGTTGGGGGGGTGGAACATGCCAAACCTCTGAGACGATACGAGAATCGAACCGTGATACAAATGGCCCACTTGGACGGGACGGTAAGGATCTGGGACCTGGGACTCGCAGATGAAATCGAAAACGAGAAAATAATGGAGGTTGATCTTGGGCAAGTTCTAGAACGTGGCGTCGATCTGAAGATTGAGCGTGTTGCCATGGCAGGGTCCACCGGAGAGTTAGCTGTGGGCATGGAGACCGGGGAAGTCGCGGTATTTAGGTGGGGCAAGAATAAAGGCTACGGAAGGACCAGAGAAGACGAGGCTCTGCAGGGAATGAGCAGGACCGAGTCGGGCGGTGCTACTGGGGCAATTAGAGACGCAAAGTCGAGGACAAATCCTGCTCTGAAGGAGGGCCTTTTGCCTCTTTGTGTTCTTGAGCAGCACTGTGGGAGCGTTTTGCACCTTGCCTGTAGTGATGTGGGATTTGTTGCTATTGCTTATCAGACTGGCCATATGTCTGTTGTTGATTTGAGGGTGTGTGTTTGGATGATGCTTCGAGGTCTTCTCGCGCTGATTGTTTTCTAGGGGCCTACCGTTATATTTCACCAGAGTTTAGCCTCCCTGACGAAGGAGGCCAAGAGGTCTAGTTTTAGAAAGAGCCATGATAAACCTATAGAGGGAGAGAAGGCTACTTGTCTGGAATTCGGAGTTCTCACACTCGAGGGTGACGGTAGGCAACTGATTGCGAAGACTCTAGAGTATCTACTAACACTATTAACGGTGGATTCAGAGTTCTCAAGCATCGCACTATTTGTCGGAACTAGTCACGGCAGAATCGCAACCTTCAAACTCCTTCCTCAAGGCCCCGGCTTTGCGTGCAACTTCGTGAATGTAGCCCATCTGGAAGGTCCGGTTGTGAAAATAATTCCACTAAACTCCGATTCCGGTAAGCGTGCGTACGCCACACAACAAGCCGTAGCGAACCTCCGAGACGGCATAAAGGTACCCGGAGTTCTACTAGGCGTGACAAAGTCCGAATCGAGGATATTCCGACCACCGACCGCGAAGGGCGCGCATAAAGGCTGGGGGGAGGACTTTGACTGTCTGTCCGCAAATGTGGTGGAGCTAGACACCCACGGTGTCTGTCTTACCTGTGTTATGAGCAGTGGCATTGTGAAGAGCTACTCGATCCCAGGGCTAAAGGAGATTAGCGAGGTCAAAATTGGACAGTGGTTTGAGAAGAATAGACTGGCGGACATAATTGTTGCTGGATCGGGGTATATTTTTGGGTGGACTTCTGAGACGGAGTGTTTACTGCTGCATATGTGGGGGAGGGGAGATAGTTGGCGAGTTGTATGATTTCCAGATTGGCTGACTATGGGGCTAACAGATAATGATTCCAGTGCGGATACGCCAAAGGACACCCTTTACAACCCAAACACGCCCGTCCCCGCCCGTCCTACGATATCTAACTTTCAATGGATCTCCGGAACACAACACGTCACAGCCGAGGACATAGACCTACTAAGTATGCCCCTTCCCAATTTCCCCTTCATCTACGCATATCCTATCTAACACTCTCCAGTCGGTGGCCCCGAAAGACCCATGTCCCGCAAAATGATAGAGCAGATGCGCGCGGAAAAACGGCAGGCAGAAATGGACGCACGCGCCAGCGCCGCTGCTGGCGCGTCAACCCAGGATGGGGTATTCGCAAACATGGCGAAGCAGATCCAAGAGCGGACTGAAAAGTTGAACATCATGGGTGATAGCATGGATAGGCTTGGCGAGAGCTCGGCGAATTTTGCGGAGGACGTGAATAAGTTTGTTAGTCAGCAGAAGAGGAAAGCGTTGCTCGGTGGTGAGTACCCCCCTCCATAACCCACGATCCCGAAGGCAAGGTGGTTAATGGTGGTTATGGTGACACAGGTATCACTGGGAAATGGTTTTAAACCAGCTCTCATACAAGTACTACCGGTTGTGGGTCTTCCTTCCTACCCTTCTTTCTTTCTTTTCTCTCTTTTTTTCTCTTGAGTGCTTCTTTGGATATCTCTCGTGTTGTGTTGGAAATCAATAGCATAGTTGTACTGGTAGCGGTCATCACCGCGGTTATGATTCACTTTCATGATGCACTACCGGTATTGTACGTGCGCCCGGTGCGAATCAAGATTTTGAACCCGGGAGGGCTTTGTCAGTTCCAGCGCCCATGCCCCACGATGATGGCGCAGGGTGAAAAGAAACAACCGGAGCCTTCACAAAGAGTCACTCGATGAAATCTCCGATAAATTAACCTCCCGATAACAATCAGCATTACTCGTACAGAGCGCTTGTAAGTTGTTATGGGAATAAATTTGGGCCAAGTACCGTAGCACCCACACTCCCCCTCCTTGCAGTCCAGCTGGAAAGAAAAAAAAAAGGTCGCTCGGTTATAGCATTACCAGTACAGTATTGTACCCGTTGAACATTGAGGCTGAGCAAATGCTTTCCCAGCGTTGCTCCGGTCAGAGATCGACATTAGTCTAGAGCATGCATCCGTTCGCTACGAGGACTCGACCAATCGGGGGACAGAGAACAAGACACCACCACTGCACCATACTAAGCTATGCTCGTATAGATTTCATTATTATGTACGAAGGCTGTGGCGAAACAACGAATGGGGGAGATCCAATGATGCGGTGTGACGACCAAAGTCAGTGCATAAGTTCTGTATGGATGAACCAGAAGTTGTGAAATGGGGGGATTCGCAGATTGTGATAGGATCAGAGGGGAGGGGTAATGCCGGCCTACCCGCCCATTATATTACACTTCTCTTGCCTTCTTCTTGCTTGCTTGCTTCTCCTTCTCCCTCTTCTCTTCGACTTCTTCTCACCCCCCCCGGCTCAGCGCTCTGGCAGGGAGAATGTACCGTTACCTACCGGAATGTTAATAAGGTCCGCCCTCTCTCATACCGTACATTCTCACACCACCGAACGAGCAAACGAATAATGCGAAGAAATGACCCCCCACGCGAACCTCTTCCTTTCAGAAGTAATACTGGGCATCGTATTCCTGTCCCTGACGGCATACAACATATCCCGAACACCACGAGAGACAGGGTGGTGGTACATTGCCATTTTCTGCCTATGTATGCACCCGAGCAACAAGTTTCCTCCCGGGAAGCTGGCTGCGCTGGCAAAGCTAACGAAGTAGCCAACCAGTCAGAATAACCGGCAGCGCCCTCCTACTAACGATCACGGTCAAGCGATCGCATGCCGATAAATCGCTAATCATACCCGCCATCGTGTTCTCCGGGATCGCGGTGTCGCCGTTGCTAGCTGCCTGCCTAGGGTTTTTGAATTCATGGTCGGTCATATGAAGCCGGTGCCGTTCTCTCTTGCAAGCGTTTCAGATGGCTGATTTTTGAAAAAAAAAAAAAAGCACCCAGCATTTGACAACGATCTACCATCCCATTCTCCGACTGCTAGCCTTGACGCACTTATTCGTTCTCGCGGCACTAATACTCAACACCGTTGGCGGGGTGTTAATACCCCTCCACTCCACCACCTCTTCCTCCTCCCCAACTCCCCCCTCCGCGTCGGCGATAGCTTCGCTGAACCACGCGATAACCTATATCCGTGCGTCGTCGCTTCTCTTCCTCACCTCCTGGGTGCTGATCCTCCTCTCCTTGGCGATTCTATCCCGCCATTGGAGGGCTTTCGCGTGGACGGCTAGGGCGTTTTACGTGGCGGTGCTGGGTGGCATGCCGTGTCTGTTTGTCAGGATCCTGTATGCAGTGTTGGCGGCGTGGGATCTGGGGAAGGGGGGAGTGGTGGTGCCCGGGGGCGGGAATCGGTATGGGGTTTTGAAGGGGGACGTGGGGGTGTTGGCGGGCATGAGGGTTTGTATGGAGTTTTTGGTGGCTGGGGGGTGGGGGGTTGTGGGGGCTTTGGAGTGGTGGTGGGGGGGTGCGGAGGGGGAGGAGTGGGGAGGGGGAGAAGGCTGTTTGAGGGGGAGGCTATAATGGTGCCTCATTTTTATTATTATTTTCCCTTGTTCACTTTGTTTAGGATGCGAACGCGTTTGGGATTATCGCATAGATCTGGCCACGATACCTCATAATTATATTCTAGAGTTTGTTTTAGTTTTTTTTTCTTCTTTTTTTCCCTTCTTTCTTCTCTCCCCCCCTCCCTTTCCAGACACGACAACCCCCCGCACACCCACAACATAAACAGACCCCCCAAAAAACTACCACCAACCCCCTTAAAAGAGCCGAGTGACAAAAAATGATCGCCGGACCACACACATACAGTATCATATCATATCATATCATAATCCCCACTACCACCACCCTCGGAGCTCCATTACACAGTGTACTCGAGTACATAGTACAGTACAGTACTTACCGTGCTACAAGATAAATTGTAATGCTACAGGGATCGATGGTACTACCGTAGTACTAGTGCTAGTATCGTACGCACTTACCGCCATCACGGAAAAGGAAAGGGAAAGAGAAAGAGGGAGAAAGACATTATAGTACTGATATGATGGCAAGCTACGGACCGAGATGAGTGGATGGTTATTTGTAGGATTAGTGCGGACAAGGGATAGATGGATGGATGGATGGAGGTGTAGTGGTGTAGTGGTGGTATGAAATGATCCGGT